TTAATTTTTTTTTCAATGAATAGGAATTTAGTCCACACCCAGACCCATGCCAGCCCTAAGGGTGTTTATTAAGGGCTGGGCACTGGGCAAATTGACTGGCTATGAGGATAATTTTGTCTGCTTGGTTTAACCATCTAGAAGAAAGTTTTTGTATAAAGATGTTCAGTTCAAAACATTTTTCCCACCTGTGAAAACCAGTTGCCACGCTGTTAATGAAATCCTTTAACCCTAATTGGGGCTGTATAGAATGTCAAGAAAATCCCATTTTATTTTAACTTCTGGTTTTGTAATCCAAGTTTTTGCTCTTGGTCTCCGAGGATGCTTATAAAATAACAAACGTTGAAATAGTATCGTCAGTATTTAATAACTTTCCTTGTCTTTGTTTTATCACCTTAAAGTAATTTTATTGTATTATGTCCTTTATTTTCCAGCTATCTGCTACAAGTTTGCCCTGTTTGAGCCAGAACAGTGTTATTAGTTCCTGTTCAACAAGACGCAGCCATTGCAATATTAGTAACAAACTTGGTATGGCCAGTGAACCGCTTTTACTGTCAACAGAATCAGATTCAGAAAAACTGGAAGCAGAAGATTTCAAATGTTCTAAGGACGTTCCGGAGAAAACTTCTGTCACTGAATGTCAAGGTCCTGGTATGTTAGTTATAGAGAGTGGTGCAAGTTCATCATCTGCAGGATACTGCTTCTTTTGCACGCAACAGGGGCCTGTCATAAAAGAGAATGTCAGTAACAGTCACAAGTCTAAAAAGAGAAAAAAGTCACAAAGTTTATTGGTATTGAATTCTGTTGGTTCAAAGAGCGAGAATACATCTCATTTATTACGTGACTCATGTAATAACTTGACCACGATCAGGAGTAGTTCAGCATCCATTCTAAGGAGTGCTATTTTAAAGGTTAAGCAGCCCAGCAGGAACAGTTCAAAAGATCAAAGCATTTGTTCGTCACTCAGCAAGCTTACTGAATTGCGAGAAAGTTGTGGCCTGATGTGTCGCATTTGTCACAGTGGTGATGAAGATGAGGAGCTCATAAGACCTTGCAAATGCACTGGAACTGTTAAGTATGCCCATCAGAGTTGTATATTGAACTGGGTTTCAAAATCTGGACATGAAAGCTGTGAGCTGTGCAAGTTCAAATTTAGGACAAAGAAGCATAGTGTGAAGTGCTTCTGGAAGGTTTGTTCTGATTCATTATAATCCATCAAATGCTTTTGCTCACATGTGACTAGTCTAAAAGTGTCACATAAGTAAATGTTCTCCGGCTAAAAGTGTGGAATATGTGAGTGTTGCAAAAAATATTTGAAGGATAATAAACACAATAGCCCCCATTTGACGTAACAAATATGCCCAGATATTTGTCCTGGGACATTATCATTCAGTGTTCCTTGAAGCTAGCAGTTTTCCTTGAGTATTTTCTCTCAGAAAGCTGTTCACTTCTCAGAATATGTCCTTTTGAGTGTCATTAACAGATGTACAAGTCAGAATCAACCATCTAGAATAGTAAATATTATATATTAACTGCTATTCATAAGCTTCTGTTCATAATAGTTCATAATAGTATGACAATTCCCTCACCTGCTGTTCTTTCCAAACTACTGATTTTTGCAGTGGAGTTTTCCTGAAGTAAGCACCAAAGGGTGGCTACACATTGGGCTTTTCATTGCTTTTGCAACAATGCTACTCACTTCCGTGACGTGGATTATCTGGTCACGTGTCAGTAGGACTCCATCAGCAATCGCTGAGCGAACCACTGAGGAAGTGAAGTTTGCTTACATGGTCAATGGTTTGTTCATCGCTTTGGCTGTTGGTGGTTTGTACTTTGACAGTTTGAAACATTTTAAACAGTATTCAAAGAGATGGGCAGCACTGAACCAGAATGTGGTGGTGGAGTGTTATGAAGAAAATGGCAAAGTCGAAGGGGTAGATGTTAACTTACCCCAAAGGGTGTGTCCCAGACAGTCCTCTGTCAGCAAAGCCATGGAGGAGAGTGAACCAGAGAGACTTTCAGTAGCTGTTCATACAGAGCCAGATGAACGTGTTGGCAGAAATGATTCTACAGACTGGGTTTAATAGTCTAGCCAACAAAATAATAAGTGTTACTCTCTATTATGTTACTTGTGTTTGTAGCTGATATGATGCCTGCTCTGATTGGCTAAGACTAGGGCATTATTCTCACGTAATGCCCATGGGCCAATTACGGACCTGTAAAACCCCCAAAAAAGCTATATAATAAACTGCTTATTAATCTCAAATGTTCGATCTGGATGGGGAGATCTTAAACCTCAGCCCTGCCGTATTGACCTCACTATCACTTGGTCACAAGGTTTCTGTTTGAGATTTTTCTGTTAAGACCTCACTCTCGGGTTAATAATAACTACGCAATAAATTGTTCATTGAATTATCTTGAGTATCAGTAATGGGAACTTTTAACACTGAGGTTTGTGTTATTGCTGGCATGTTTTTAGCCTGCAGGTGCAGACGTATTTGACAGCTGGAAATACTTCTGTGTAATTTGCAGGCTAATTTTTTTTTAAAGAAAAACAAGTCCTTGACTGTTCATACGTAAACTGAACTCCATTATTTGTTTTGTTATAAAGTTAATAAACCTCTATTGTGGATAAATAATTTTGAGCTTAACTTTGCAGTGTTAAGTTATTATAACTTTTTTTCTGAGGAGTGTACATGGAATTTTGTAAATGTTTTACAGCAGATGCTGCCCTTCACTCAGGATCAGTAGATGAAGGCAGGGTTACAACATCAAGCAGAGAGTCTGCTTCACCTTCCCCTTCCACTACCTCTCAGAAACCTCATAAAGGGAGAGCATTGGTTAGTTTTAGCTGGTTTTCAAATAAATGTGTACAAAAGTGAGATTTATGTTCAAATTACTGTAACTATATTAGGTGCAGTGGTTGTAGACTAGTGTTAGACTTGCTTTTTTAGATAAAAGGTAAATTAATATAAAGTAGGTGGACATCAATATGTTGGTACTAGCAAATTATGAAAACATCCACATTATGACGTTTGCAGTTAGGGGAGAACTGTTCTCTTGGTCAAACTATGTTTAATTAAGCTAAATTTTCAATTGTAAGTCATTTGGGTTACAGTAGACTTTTTGCTTCAGTATTGGAAAGGTGTTCATAAAGGCAACAATGAGCATTAGAATCAACTGCATTCACAGCTTACTGCAGAGAATAATGCTTGCTAAGTGGAACGTAACATTGATGAATGCCAGACAAAGACCACATGCTGTTATGCTGTGTCTGAGTGTTTTTGATCATTTTTGCCATGACTTTTTTGGCATGGGTTATTAGTTTGGCTGAGGTAAAGACATCTTTTTGTGTCACGAAGTACATTTTTTTTGTTAAATAAAGATATGCCAGAAACCTCAAGAAATAATCAGCCTTAATATTTAGACTTTGCTTTACAAAGTATATCTGAAATGTTATTCTGGACATTTTCAGTTTGTAGTGAAGGTATTTATGAACAGTTGCTTCCTATGCACAAGGGAATGGCATGTTAGAGTGAGAAAACAAAATATATTTGTTTGTCAAGAAACATAGACATTTAATCAGACAGTGACGAGAGCTTCTTGGAAAAAAGTTTTTTTGAGTAGCAGATCTTTTCTTTCCTGCAGGGATACAATATGCTCTTTCCAAAACCACAAGAATATCTAGTACTCAGCAGCAACTTAATGAATACCAGTGCTACAGATTGGAAATGTATAATTTTGTAAATAAGAGTATTTTAAGTACTAAATTACTAAATATTGTTCAAAATTACACATGCTTACTGATGTTGAAATATCAAAAGTCTTTGATTTTCAGTCTTGATCATGATCAATCAGGAAGCTGAAACAAATATCCAGTAAAGGGAAATTATATCTGTTACGTGGCTGGTTCACTGGTTATATCATTACAAAGAAAGCTTCCCGTTGACTTCATTTACCCCTTCTCCACCATGTCCTTGCCTTATACAAAATTTATTTTATAACGAGGATGAGATCGTTTGGTAATAAATCTTAGCCATCATTGGTTGAAGGTTTCTTATGGTAACCGTAATGAATTATAACTGGCTTTTGCCCAAAGGATCCTAGAAATCCTACACTATTGAGAGCTATTGGTCAATCCTAAAAGTTTCTGGAACGGCAACTTGTTCCTTTGCCGGTAAATTTTGGCGGGGAACAATGCTTAATTGTAATCCAAAGAATATCTAGAAGAGAGAATGAAGAGAAAAATGACTTGGTAGGTTGGGCTCTCGCTCCTGTTTAGAGTTTGTCGCGTATTGGGTGATCCTTAAAACCTGACGTTACTAATCGAACCAAATCGAACGTAATCACGCGATTGGGTTCGATTGAGTTCGGTAATCGAACAAAGTCGAACTCTCACAAAAAAATTTGACCAATCGAACGCAATCGAATGTTCGAGTGAGTTCGATTGGGCTCGATCAAGTTCGATTAGTACGATTGGGTTCGATTAGGTTCGATTTTACAGACAGTTTATTCTTTCAATGTATTTTCCATGCCAAAAGTCTATACATCAATAAAAATATCACTAGTTAATTATTCATTTGTAACTCTTACTTAGACAGACTGTCCAATTATCTGGTTGTAATAGGATGAATTTAAGATTTTCCTATTGTGTTCGATTGGGTTCGATTAGTTCGGAAATCGAACGCAATCGAACTCTCTCACACAAATTTTTGGATTCGATTTTGTTCGATTATCGAACTAATCGAACCCAATCGTTCGATTTATTTCGGTTGAGTTCGATTGAACGGTTCAATTAGTAACGTCAGGTTAAAAAGAATAAAAAATCCTAGTGGTACGTGGGATTTATGATCAAGGTTTCGAACAACCCACCCTCAAGAAGAAGAGACACATTGTTACGAATGTTATCTACCGGTATCTACCGGTATCTACCGGCATCTACCGGTATCGCGAAAGTATAAGCCCTCCGAAGGTAATAAACGAGGCTGTGAAAGTTGCGACCTCAGCGTAACCTGCCTGTTCCCGTAACCTCATTTTTGAGAGAGACAATGGTATTAATAGCAGAACATTATCAATCTTTAACGTGCGTGTCGCACTTAATAAAGACCGCAGTAACAGAACTACTGAATAAATGGTTTTCTCCTGCGCAAAATCGTATCAAAAACGATTTGTTTTGAATTAAAAAAAGCTTTTGTAATCACTAGCAGATGTCACGAATTTTTCGGTGCTCTACGTATTTGGGAACTAGCTACCGAACGATATCGAGAAAACCTGGGAAGGAAAATCAGCAACCAATCAGAGAACTGATTCATAAATTTGGCGCGATTTGCAGAGAATCCTTCGCGGCAGAACTGACCTGAAGACTCTTGAAAGTAGATTGGGAGGTGAAGAGTTTGACAATTTTCCTAGAATTTTCCTAGAATCTTATGAAGCAATCGCAGTATTAAGGTAAGAAGACGATTCACATTGAAGTCCGTGCGTGTTGTGGCTGTGCACGATCTAAATATTAGACTCGGTTTGCAGTTGAGATTCTCGACGCACGCAGCGTGCTGATCACTGTAAATTTCTGTGTAATATTGCATACATAAACAGAAGACTTATGCCTGTTCCTTCATTATTTTCGCAGAATTTGATGAACTGATCGTTTGAAGACCATTCAGGGAAATAAAAAAAGATGGTAACAATACCAGAATGCGAGGGACTAGTCGAACCTCTTCTTCGCGTTCTCGAAGACAACATGGCGGCTGGTGATGATCAAGTCGACGCGTATCTCAGAATGACCGAGTAAGTGGCAAGGAAAACTGCGTTAAACATATTTAGAGGGTTCAAAAGTGAAATCAGTAAGGTGGAATATAATTTCAACCGTTAGTTTTCTTTTCAAGAGCAGATTTTCTTTAGGTCCATGATCAGACCTATGAAGTCGAGATGATTATAATTGGCGTAGCACCTGCATGGAAAGTGTGCTATGATTCGAATACTGTCTAGATAATTATAATAATTGTTCTTCTACATAATTTCATGCCCCATTTTTTAGCTTGGTACGTTTAATATTTTCACCAAGCAATCGAGCAAAGCCCAGCTTTCAAGCTCAGTATAATGTGATTTCTTGACAGAGCATTGGGTGTTAGGTCTTAGGTCTTCATTTTAGAATCACCCCAATGCAATTAAGAGTGAGGAGAGGCCTAATTATACACTTCTTTATTTTTTTCAGCCGATTAAGAGAGGAAGAGGATGTATTTGTAAATGAACTCCTAAATTTTCTTACAAGGGTTGTCGTAGTCCTAAAGGTGAGTTAATCCTGTAATTTCCAAAAGTGAAAACTGTACTCTCCTGTACAAATTACAGCAGTAAATAAATTCAGCAACCTGCCAGAGGGGATAGAGAATTTATGATTGTGTATGAATTTAGTGTCCCAGATTAGTGCATGTACACTGAAAGACTTACATTATCAAGAATCAAGTTTGACCCATTAATTGATATTGTTGTGACATAGCTCCCAAATTAATAAGTTTATTCTCAAAACAGACATGGTATGGAATGAGCATAATATTTTGTAAGATAAAGTTGTACAGATTTACAGGTTAGAGGTTATGAGTGAGGATTTGAGCAGGGCTCGAAAAAAAGTGCTGTCCATTCATCGGGGACAAGTAGATTTTCTTGCTGGATGAGTTACATTTCATTCTCATTTGCCTAATGGGCATGGGCCCAGGCAAGTTGTCCAACAACTAAAAAGAAATGATAAGCTAAGACTTGCCCAGGACAAGTAATATTTGAGAGCTACTTGTCAGAAGGGCAAGTGGAAGCTGGAATTCAAGACTTTTTTGAGCTCTGGACTGGAGGATGGACATCAGAAACCCCAGTACATGATGAGTCATGAATGCCCCTCAGTCTCGAGTTTTCAAGTTAGGGTCTCGCTGTCATGGAGAATCATGGATTTTTCTTCCAATTGTCATGCTCTTGACTGGATGGCTGGCAGTTTTTTGCAAATGTCCACTGTCCATTCATTTATACACCAAAGTTTATTTGGCACTGAAGGGGGATGGATATTCTGAGCTTAGAGGGAGAAGGTTCAGGGGGGTGTAGGGGGCTAGAATAATTATTATTATGGGTTGACAGTCATTGCTAAGTAGTAAATGTTGCAACATCATTTAGATGTGTAATATTCCTTTTTCTACAGAGAGATATTCAGTCTGATAAGTCAGATCTCTGCCAAGCATCTTTACAGACTCTTGGGCATTGTCTGTATCAAGAGCAGATAGCTAGGTTGGTATACGGGAGCAATTAGTATGTATTTAATGACTGGATGGAAATGAATGTAAAAGCTTCAATTTGCAATGTCTCTAGTTTTAATGAACCCTACATGTACATAAGTTGCTGCTATTTTTGTGCCATATTATTAGAAGGCAATTTAGCTCTGTTATCTTAGATCGATTTGTTGCTATTAGTTATCTTATGGAACTGTGATCTCTCACATAGTATTGTCAAATTAATGTTAATACCATTTGAATCCTTGTTTTTGGTTCAGATATTTGTCAGTTAATTAAATTGGTAGAAACACTAATTCAATTGCAAATGTCTTTCACAGTTCAATTTGTCTCTCAGATGGTCAGGACCTCCTTCAAGGTAAGATGTTTCTTGTCTTTTACTTGCTTAAGAATTCTTAACTTCAAAATTAAAAGGTGGGCATATTCGCAAATTCTAAAAATTTAATTATTTGGTTTCTAAAATGTTCATGAACGCATTACCAAATAGAAAACTTTGGCTGAAGGAGCTCACTTTAGGGCACTTTTTTGGAAAACTGGAATACTTGCTAGAATTGTAGTTTAACCACCAGTTGTGCTTTGATGAAGTTCAGTATTATGCTGGATGATGCATTGTTCTGATGGTAAGTGGAATAACCTGTGCTCTGCTCTTGGACAAGACTCTTCACCTTCACATTGCTTTTCTACCCCAGGGTATATTATTTAACAAATAAAGAAGCCTCGACTGTGCTCTGTTCTGTTCTAAAGCACGCAGGAAGCGATAGAGCACGAAAGAAGTGTAGGGGAAAACACGAGACGTAGTCAAGTGTTTTGTCGGCGGGAATCTAGCAAAACTTGTTATTTTAGTA